GCGGCTCCAGCCCCACAGCAGCGAGGGGTGCCCCACACACCATCCACAGCCCATGCCCCACGTGCGTGGCCGGCACCCACAGCTGCGTGGGCCGTGTGTAGCCCCAAAGCCCGCAGCGCCCATCGCCATGGCAGGGGGGCAGAGGGAAAGGGCGCCTTTGCTTCGGTCACACAGCCTCTGTTTTCCTTCTCATCCGTAAGGGCTTACGGCAGGAGCCTGCGACTGCTTTCCACAGCTGGTAATGACTGCCGGCCTTTGGAACTCAGTATCACAATCGACAAAAACAGAATCCCAATTATTAGTTAATTTTCTCTTCTCGTGGCTGAGCTGCCCATAGAATCATTCGTGAAGCAACAAAAATAGGTAGCCCCAGCCCTCTGAGTTTGGGGATAAGAGGTTAAGCCCTTGGGGCTAAAGCATGAGCAAACACAGAACAAAAGGGTGATCCCTGAACCTCCYGAGTGGCAACCTCGTCCTCCCCGCTCCTGGCACCAAAATTGCCATCGCGGCCGCTGTGAGGGCCCCTTCTCCAGGTGGAGCCGTCTCCGGGCCTCGGAGATGGACATGGAGCGCGCAGCAGGTCTGCGCTTCACCTCCTGAGCTCCCCGGGGCACCACCGAATTCGAGGAAGTGCTTTTGAAAGCCAAACCTGTCTATGCTAGACGATGCTTAAAATGAAATGGGCCTGTTTTAGAATCGGGTGTTGATKACACGTTTTCAGTAACCGAAGTTGCCGGTAAAACATGACCAGTGTACATCCGCTCGGCCAGATCCTGCTTTCAATTAATAGCAAATATTAAATAAGTTCTCTATAACCTTGGGTTTAGCTGACAGCTAAACCTCAAAAACTTTCTTAAGTGACCCCACTCATTGTGGGTTAAATCACGGACTCACAATTTGGCCAAGATCCCCTTTAGCAGAGCGTTTTGATTAGAGAAGAAACGAAGATCTGAGCTTCAGTTTACAAAGCTGAATCCATCGTCATGTGGATTCTGAATTTCCAAACTCCCCGAAAGGGATTAATGCTGCAGGGTGCTATTTGGTGTGGCCAGTGGKAATTATTAACTGGGATTTGGAAGGTGACCATGAGCGCTGATTTCCAGCTGCCAGGGGAGCAGGAAAAATTCTGCACACAATTGCATCCTAGGAAACACCTTGTGAGTTTTGTTCTTTGTAATTTCAGTGTGAAGCAATCTCTTCAKCTTCATACAACAGAAGAGCAAGCAAGCACTGTGAGCATGCTACTTGTCTGATGTGAAAATAAAAGCTATTAAAAGRAAGAGATGATGGACATCCACAAAACAATATATTTTTAAAATTAATGATAGCGTAAGAAGTGGATTATTTTAAAGCTCATTCAGGATAAGAATAGCGTGAGAGGGGAAAAAAGCAGYGGGGAGGATGATTGTTGTGGATGATTTTCCAAACCTGCCTGGATGCCCCCTGTGCCACGTGCTTCAGGTGTCCCTGCTGGAGCAGGGCATWGGACTAGATGRTCTCCAGAGGTTCCTTCCAACCTTAAGGATTCTGTAATTCTGCCTGATTCTGTGATAAGAGGGAAGACTAATCTGCGGTGACTGACTAAAACAGCACTTTTTAGTATATATTGCGTAAATACTTTGCATACATTCAAACTAGGAGGCTCCTTCCTCCGCAGCATGGAGCTGCACGTGGATTTCCCCGGAGATTTGCCAAGGCGACGGTGGTGAGGCGCTCGCTGCCGAAACGGCCGCGTTTCGAGTCATCGCYGCCCTTCCTCGCTCGCGGCCGCGCAGAGGAGCGAACAAGTCCCACCGAAGCCACGGGCCTCGGCACGAAGCCGCCCRGGGCYTGCCGCAAAGGGCTGCACAGAGAAGACAAATACGCTGGYTATTTTATTTAGCCAAAGATCTGCAAGGAAAATTACCTCCACACACACGGGCTTCTTATCATTAAGTGCAGTAACCTCCAATGGCCAACTACRTGGTCGTTGGCAGCAGCTAGTGAAGGGTTTGTGTTCATGGAGAAAATCCTCCAGCTAAGTGCCAGCTATTTCCACAGACGGCATTTGAACATGATTTGGATATTCTGAGGATCTTTTTTTTTTATGAAATCTCATGAGAAGCAATAGTTTTACAGTGCTTACCTGTCAGATTACTAGGYAGAAAACAGAGTGCTGCAGAAAGTTAGATTCCTTTATAGGTCTTCTCCTGCATACTCTGGGAAGGACYGAGAATTGCTGAATAACCTGAAGGTATTTAAGGCTGGGAGGACGCAGAAAAGTAACTTCTTTAGAAAAATGAAGATATATTTGAAAGCAAAGAACTGAAAGAAAATTTGGTTTCTGTTCTTTATTCCACCCTTAACATGGATATGAAATGACTGTGTTTGTTTATGATCCTGTGTATCATTCCGAGATTTAAGTAACAGAGCAGCAGAAAGCGGGTCTGCAGTTGAGGCTCTGTTAGACCACACAGTCTCAGCCACTCCTGGCATAACTAACAATTTCATGGAGACTGTCACAAACCACACGGATCCCGAGTATCTCTGAGGCAGAGCACAGGGCGCAGGGGCAGCAGGGGAGGTCACGGGGGAAACACTCTGGTCGCTTCTCGCTTTTGTCACTGACCTTTTTCCTTCATGACCTTTTACTTCACATTGCTTCACCTTTCCCAACCATAAAGCACCTCTATTTTATTTTTTTCCACAGATACCACAGAGATGTTTGGGCAAAGCGGGCTCCTAAGGTGCCAGGCTTAGGAGGTTAGGTTTAGGTTAGGTTAACCAGGCACCTCTGGGCCTAGAAATGGGCAGCCATGGCAGCTCAGGACCACGCGGCACCACACGGCCTCCTGGCAGCCTGGGCGCTRGGTCTAGGCCTGTGAGATGTTGTGAGAGGCTGCGACCTGGAGGCCGTGAATCCTTGACCTTACCTGCAGGAGCCTCCGGCCTTGTGGGGCAGGCTCCAGCACTGGCTGTGGAGTCTCCTTCTCTGGAGGTCTTCCAAACCCGCCTGGATGCCGCCCTGTGCCCCGTGCTCTGGGTGTCCCTGCTGGAGCAGGGGGTCGGATTAGATGATCTCCAGAGGTCCCGGCCAACCTCAACCATTCTGTGATTCTGTGATTGTTTTGGATAGTTTTTAGCCATGTTGTGACCAGAGAAATGCTAGGGTGAAAACACCTGCACTGGGACAGACGAAAGACGCAGATCAATCTTTTTGGCAAGCAACTGTAATGAGATTAATTTCCATTTATYACAAAATKACAGAAGAAGCTTGATACATTTATGTTTATAGAAACAAAATCCTTGGAAATTGGATAGTCCTATTATATTCACGTTTCCATTTTTAAATTTTTATCTTACATTTTTATTGATATCTGACTCAGCCATAATTGTTAAGCTAATTAAATTCTCAAGAACTGGTTAGTGAAATTCTGAGATGATCCTGAGTTTGGACATACTAGAGAGTATACAACAGTGAGTGCAGTGGAATATGTGTAAGGTTTGGGAGAAATAGTACATATTAGAGAATGTAACATGGAAAACCAAAACTGCTAACTAATATATCTAGGAAAAAAATAGAATATACTTATTGCAGTGCACCAAAATAAGCCTCACTAAGATTCAGAGATTAACCAAAAGCTGCTGATTTTGACTCTTTCTGATTTGCAGTCCCCAACATTTTCCACTACAGCTTCAGACTCTGGCACACACAGGGTCACATTTCCCCTRTTTATTGTAAAGCCAAATCCCACACCACAGACCAGGTAAATAAAAAAGTCCAAAGAGACYATTCTTGATGTATCGTATTAATTTCAGAATACACCAGTGCTTGAGCAGTGCAGCTCTGATGGAGACAGWTTAAGAAAAGAACAGAAATGATGAAGAGTTTAAAACACGGACTTGAGAGCTCAGGTTGGAGGTACTTGAAATATGTGTGCCATGGCCAAAAGTGACAATGAAAGCATGACACAGAATAGCTGCCTAAGAGTATTGGTGTGTTAACCACAAGGAAAGAAGATGATGTGTTTATTGCATTTAAAAAGCAAGTCACTAAAAGCAGGAAGAAAGGATCTTTTTTTCTTTTTTAAAAAAAAAGAAAGATTAAATTAAATACTAAGATATTCCTGCTGACAGTAAAGTCTGTTACACTGCTGAATAGAGACATATTAAAAATAGTTTAATGTGGATCGTTTTCTCTAATGTAGCTCTGCAGTCAGACAGACTGGACAACTAGGATGTCCTTGGACTCCTGTGCCCAGGTAATGACTTTCTTCACTAAAATAAATCCCATGCAGGGGGGGA